AAAGCAAAGTGTTGGTGAGTCCCAGATCATTTATCTTATTGAATTGCCTCATGAAGTGTTTCCCTCATGATTGTGCGTGTGAAATGCAAAAAGTAGATTTTGCATATTTAAACAACTGTTTTGACTTCACACACCCACACAAATTTTTATGATAAAAATGTAAAAGCTTAGATAACTTGTACGTGTGTTATTCTTTTGATTTCTTGATTTATATAGCCCAAAACATTAGATCAAGATGCATGTTGCAGAAGCATGGTGCATAAAACAGTACTGTGCAGATACAACACCCTGACAATGTGGACCCTTTTAAAAGCCGGTGCTGGAATGGAAAATTTGAGAGCAAAATCATATTTGATAGGTCAGCAGAATGTTTCGATAGAGTGCAGAAACAGCCCCTTTGAGGCAAAATGGAAAAGAATATTGAATATTTGGTAGAATGCATATTATAGTGATTCAATTGCTCAGGATAAGAATTCTACTGTATTCCATTTTACAGGTGCGTTTCATTATGAAGTTCTGAGAAATTCTTGCCTGCATTTTGACATATGAGGGTACCCACTCTCGGACTACAGCACCCACAAGTCAACAAGTCTTCTTACTCTTGAACTTCTTTAACTTTCTCTTTTTGAATGTGCAGATAAATGACAAATTTACCCGTATAAGACAAGAACTGTGTAACAAACCATACTGGAGGTTTATGGTGAATAGTTTTTATGCCATAGAGAACTCTCTCCCATACAGCAGAAAGGTAAAGGGAAAGTTTGAATTATTTATTAAGATAGTATTTGATGATAGATATGAATGTATGTGATATTACATAGCACGATAATGGAGAAGAATTAAGTTCTTTCATTTACAAAATGGTCGAATTTATTTTTTCCAGAAACTGCACCATCACTGATGTAATCCCAAATTCAAACTGTTTGGTTAACAGAGCCACGTTTATCTATCTTTGCTGACATTTACACTTTGTCTTTGTACTCCAATATTTTGGACAGATCTCACACTTACGTGATCACATAGAATCTGTAGCTAGAAAGGAGCCATACATGGGAGAGGAGATCCCACTGCGTTGGCTACTGTTTGATCGAAACAAGATGACTAAGGTAGCCAAAAATATTAAGCGTGGAACTGAGACACCTGTTCTGACTTTGAAGCAGGTAATTCAGAGCAAGTAGTAAATTGTTATGTCCCTATAATTGAGACAGTGTACCTGCTGGTGGAATAACTATGGAGTCCACTCCATCAAAGTGATCTGTTGCTTGCTTTGTTTACTTCTCGAAAACTAACTCTCAAAGCTCTCATCCATGCATGCGCATGTAACAATGTATGAATATTGATAGGTACAATGAATACCTACATACATACATCATATAAATCATTGGGTCAAATTGGCTGGTAAGCTTACAAAAAGACAAGAATGCTATGATGGGAAAGGCTGGTATATCAGGCACTTTTCTAGTTAAAAGTAAAGCACAGGAAAAATTCAGCAGAATACAAACTCACAGATAATGTAGAAACTTTCTTAATAAACCAATAATGGAATTTATAAGTAAGCGTGTACTGTTTTACTAATACCTTTTTAATTAATTGGGCTCAGAACAAAAACTGACAGTTCCACATTGTCAAGATAAGAACGAATTTGATCAGCTTGTAGTGAATACATGTTGAAAAACAGTGGTGAATATGTCTCTGCAGATCAAAGATGCCTTTGGGATTGAGGATGAAACCGAACTTCTGACGATGCTGAAGTTCTACCATGATCTCGGCCACATTATCTACTTTGGAGGTGATGGTGATCAGAAGAGTCAAGCCTTGAAGGATGTAGTCATTCTGGATCCTCAGTGGCTGATTGATGTCTTCAAGAAAGTCATCACTGTTACACCCCCTCAACGACAGGTGAGAACACTTTTTATCAGTTTGCGTAATGCTGTGATTTTAAAAGCATCATGAAATGAAACAATGGACATGCTAGTTAGAAAGGTTTTTTTTTCACAATTTCCAAAGGAGTGGGGGCACAGTTGTGTGACCATCAGGCATCATCCCGGCATTAATAGACCAATGCATTAAGCCCTACCTATCATACTACCTGCAGGGGGGAGGAGTCCGATGGTCAAAAAGTGGGGAGGGAGACCAGCTGATCCCCTAGGACCCCCTTCTGCCACAAGTGCCACCTGCTCCTGATGAGCATGTGCTTTTACAGAAAGACATCATCCATAAGTTGACACTTACTGGCAGTTGTCCTTATGTATATTGTAACCAGGATTGTGTGATTCCATGAGTTCGGTATTGAAGTAGACATTTCTTTCAGAAGCTGTTCTTTGGAAGAAACAGAAATGCTGGTTTTTATTTTCCTATTGATAGTCAAATCTGATGGACTTGCAATTCGTATTTTTGTCAGATGACAGATCACGTCAAGTCTTGGAATCGCCTCAAGGAAGATGGTATATTGGAAGATATACTGATTGATTACATGTGGCAAGATCTCCTTCCAAAGAAGCAAGCACTCCTGGATATAATGGACAAGTTTGACTTACTTTGTGAACGAATTGAAGAGGTATTTGCTCTTTCTTACTGTATCCTGTGTGGGAGTAATTGGTTCTTGTACACTTTTGCTTTGCTCCTCAAGGTCAGGCATCATGCAAATTTTCTACATTTGTACAACTGTTGATGCATGTGCATAAGTAATGTGCCTCTACTGCAATATAATGTGTATCATTTTGTTGTACATTTGCCCACAGGGCAAGAAGACACACCAGGCCATTTCTTATTACGTGCCATCGATGCTGCAGAGACGGACATCAGTCAGCCAATTAGAGGACAGTGAGCATGCTAGTGTATTTTTTGTAGATTTTCAAGGATTCCTTCCAGGTAAGCTGTTGTAGACTGCAGGAATAGCTGTACACACCTTCTCTAACAGTAGACACCGCTTTTGTTCATTAGTTATGCTAATTTGCTAAAGTTTTCTTCAAGCAAGCTTAGCGAGTGCATGTTTGACGTCAATTTGTTCACTCTAATTTTGAGCCTTGTGCCCTTTCTAAACCCTCTGCCATCAGCAACCACAATTCTCTCCCCGTTTTTTTACAGACGGCCTGTTTCATCGTTTAGTTGTACGAGCATTGAGATGGTCTCAAAACAGGGGAGGAACTAATCCTGTTCTGCACTATGATCGTGGGAGTTTTTATGTTGATGATCAACATGAGTTTACCCTGCAAATGGACCGCCAGAACAACCTTTCATTCATTAAAGTAAATGTTTGGCTTACTTAAATGCATGCTGACTTGTGCAGGGATTTAATAGGAATGCATTGCTTTATTAGGTGAAATTTTATGCATAGTTCAAGTTTTAATTTATGAATAAATTGCACAAATTAGCTAATGCTGGCAAACAATAAGAAAGACAAAAGGACCATAGTTACACATGACACAGCTCATGCAGTCGTTGAACCCATCACTAGTGATGTCGCACTGGTCTTGTCAACTATTTAAAACTACCCTGCCAATGTGGTGTTGATATAGGACTGTACTTCCACTGGAAAAGTTTTCAACCTATTCACGCAAAATACATATTATGGATTGACTGTTGCAGCTTCGGAGCTCCACTTTTTTTAATAATTCAAATTCTTATTCACTCAGTGAATTGCTTTCACATCCACTGTGATTGCTTATCACGTCCAGTTTACCTTCTGATCTCTTACTATGATAGTTCAGTGCCTAATTGATCACCGGTCATAAATATTTTTACTAATAGGTAAATGTTACACGAGCACCGGTCATCCATACAAAACGTTCAAAACAACCCAAGATCAATGTAAAGAAAGCACCATCACCAGATGTCACAAAAGAGGTACTATAATTAATTATATCTGAATTCAGTCAAATAACTGAGACCCTCTTTTAAGAACACTGGTCCTCTGACATATTAACATGCAAAACTACAGATTTCAGAATGTGCTCTCTGTTTCGCGATTTTTTTCAAATGAAAAGAACTTGTAAAAGATACAAAGAATCCTTATGAAAGTCATTTGATAAAATTCAGTTTCCATTAATTGCTACCTATAAATTTGCTTTTAGTGTTAAATTAGTTTGAAGTGAAATTAGTATTTGTCCAATGAAACTATGAATTTAGTGCATCTCATTAAAATTGATAGGGGAGTCAAGCCAACTGTATGAGAGAAGATAAAAATTGAAAGAGATATCATGTTGGCTAAATATTGTCTCTATATCACACAAATCCGTGGCTAGATAATTAAGACCAGCTTTATGTAAAGGCATTAATTGATTTTGATAGAGGCTGCATCGCTAGAATTACAGGTAGAACTGAATTTGTTAGGATTAGCACTTGCATAATCAGGAAAAATAACTGCATACACTCAACAACTTACACTTTTTATTTTTTTTATTTTAGAAAGTTGGAAAACGTCTGACAGTTCATCATCTGGATAAGCAAATATTCTTATCTGAAGCACTTTATAGCACGTATGGGTCATCTATGGGTATACAATCGAACCTTGTTAATCCGAGGTTCTTCAGTTTTGGCAAATTGTATTATCAAGAATGAAAACAATGAAAACCAAAGGATTGGGACCTAAAGATTTCCTCGTAAGCAGAATCTCATATTAGCAGTGTTCTGTTTAATGAGGTTCGACTGTACTTGCCATTATACCCCACTATTTTCTACTGTCTTTGTCTAGGACAACTTTTAAATCTTAATTGTTGTTAATCAGGTACACGATTTTGTGGAGGAAAATCTGCAGAACTTGAAAGATATGTGGATCAAGCGTATCAACTACTCTCTCAGTGTTGAATGCCCCTGTAGACGTAGCTCTCTCCATTTACTTTCCTTGGACAAATGCTTGGAGAAGGCAGAGGTTCCCTGTAGGATCGAGAAGTTGCCTCAACGTCTGATCAAAACAGACCAATTCCAAGCAATGTTCAATCAGGAAAGTTCAGAGGAAGAGCCCATAACTCTCGGTAAGTTCATTGTAAGCTTTTCTTGAGTGCTTGCTGCATGCTATTGTACTTAATGTTACAATGGAAGAATGCACTGCCTCTAATCTTAGTGTGTATACTCGTAATATGCTGTTCACCTCACCTGCTCTCACTTTAAAAAATTCTACATTATTTTAATTTTGTTGTCATTTTTTTTGTTTTCAGAGGAAAGATTGGAACCACTGAGCAACATCCACTTAGAAGAGATAGTTGCAGACCTTGGCCCTGAATGGAAAAGATTGGCAACAAACCTAGGCTTCAAAGAACAAGCTATCTACAGGTTTGAGGCAGACACAAAATGTGTTCATGATGCAATTTTTTGCATGCTTGTAAGCTGGACGAAAAAATTCAAAAAGTCTGTGAAGGAGAAGCAAGAAGACTTAGCCAAAGCTCTGAGAAAGATTGATAAGCTGGAACTAGCTGATAAGGTACTGAAATATCCAAGCAGCCCTTGAGTAAGAATTGCATCAGGGATTTCGGGCAATACAAATACATGCACATGTTGTGTGTAATTTGCAAGAACAGAGAGGTATATCAAGTATACATTATGAGAATTAAAACAGGGCAAATTGGTTTTATGCAGTGTGTCCCCACTTGTGGGTTTTGACACAAAACTGTGCCTTGCAAATTTGACAGGAATATGTCATGGGGAAACATGACTTGGAGAAAACATTGACTCAACCTCAATTCTTCAGTTTGTTAACTTGAATTACATACTGATGTGGTGTGTGAAAGTGGCAGTCAAAACTGGATGTGGCATAAAAACACATTTAGACACACAGAAAGTACTTATTCAGCTTTTTGAAAAGAGGACACAAAGCATATTCAATTTGTCATATTTTGTTTGCGTCTTACAAATACCATTAAGAAACATTTACATTAGCACTTCAAAGAATGAGTGAAGTATTTTCTTACTTTTCAAATTGAATGTTATTCCCTGTACATCATTTTAAAACTCTTATCTGGTACTTTTTACCTATCGAATTGCCATATTTTTATCACTGCCCATTGTTTGCAATTGTTACGTTATAAATACCACCCTGAATGGAATCAACTTTTTAAAATGTTTATATTGGCAAGGGTTATGACCTGTTCAACAGATGTGCTGCAACATTGGTGTGCCTTAAGTGTTACGAGAAATTGTTAATCCATTTTTGAATTTGTTAATCCATTCAATGAGTTTTATTTATGTATTGAGATGCTTTTAAACCAAAGATGTCACTATATCTCTCATCATTGTAATGCTTTTTCACCTTGTAAATTTGTAATTACATGTAAATCAATCAAAGATTTAAGATTTTGTCTGCAAAGCAACTTTGGAGTACAATACAAACGAATTCTAAATAAATCATGTTAATCATTTATCGACCCCTTGAGGATTAATACATAAAAGGATCACTGGTCACATTGCATTCATGCATGTTGTTTGAGTTTAAATTTCATGTACACTATATAACTTTCACGGTAAGTGGGCTCGTAAACAGGAAAGAGTGATCAGAATTGACGTGAGTAGGCGGAAATCATTTCCTGTTCTTCTGAAAAAAAAAATTAATCTCAAAATGGAGAGTGCTCAGGAAAAAATCGAAACCTTAACTTCAGTTTAGCAGCTACCATTATTGGCTAGACATGTAATAATGAATATGGTTATGATAGGGCAGCATGTAGGTTCTATTCTTGGAAAATCCCAAGTAAATTAATATAAATGAATGGCATTGTACTACCCGTGTATCAGAAAAATAAGAGAGACAGACTACCGTATTAGTTCTGTTGGCAAAATGCAGTGACATGCACACCTCAGACAAGAGATGCATACATTTACATTTGAAATATCTCAGTAATATTAAAATTTTATCCTAGTATACTGATCAGTTACTTTCTTTCCCATAAACTCTTTAGCAATCAACCAGTCGAGTTGTAACATACTCGTATTTCAGTCATGTCAGTCTTGTCTTAAATCATGGAATCCATCTGTCAGTTTTCTATGTGAGTTTGAAGTCTTAATGGTTTATTGTATATACTTTTTATTTAATCTGTCTGATTTAATGTAAATTATTAATGTATAACACATCATGAGCATTTCATGGGGAGATGTCAGTGTTTAAAATATGTTTGTCAATGTTATATTTGTGTAATAAAGTCGCATCTTGTTAATATGAGGTCCTTCAGAGTTGGGAAATTTTATACCTTGTTATAACAGGAACCTTGTACTATCAGAATTAAAACATTGAAAAACAAAGGATTATTGGGACCCAAAAAATTCCTTTTTATAAGCAGAATCTTGTACTAACAATGCTTATATTAATGAGGTTCGACTGTATAAACAGTTTTTCATGCCCTCAGACTGTTATTTTGTACATTGTACCATAAACACATTCCATCATTGTTCAGTACTCATATTTTTAAACATTAGGTGTACTTACAGGTGGGTGTTGTTTTGTTGTGAGGAAGATTTAATGTTGTTAAAGAAACCTGCATGAAAAACCTAGTCAGCCGGAGCAGGCTAAAGGAGGAAAGTCAAATGCCGGGCTGATGCAATGAAGTACCCTTTACTTACTACCAACAAAGGATGAGTTCCTCCATTTCTTTCTTTTCTTTTAATGCCATTGTGATAGACAACTATCATAAAAAAGTGGACTTCATTGTGCCAGGTATCAGAAAGTATTCTGGTTTCTGAAATAAAAAGTATAGAGCCTTCATTCTGTGTCTTTTCTGCAGTACGTGTAGGTCCCCTCTTGATTTCATAACAAATGAGTTGAAATGTAGTTTTACGAAACAGCCAAATAGCTTTCGGCTGTTATCAAGCATATTACCATCTTTTACTCTCACCAGGGGAACTGTGTCTGTTAAGATGTTTGGTTTATGTATCGATCATAATTGTATAATCCCAAAGCAAAAATGAAATCAAGGGCGAAAGGAGCTTCAAGTACATGACTGAAGCAAAAAGTACTTGGCCCAATTTTTGCTTGATGGTAAAGAAGATAAATTGTGTGAAAGTGCCTCCAGACTGTACTAGAATCATGGTGAGCATGTTTTTTTAACCCTAAAAGAGCCAGGGAGGGGGGGACACTTTTTCCAATATTGCCGCATTACAGTTTTTTGCAATGTGGCTGAAGCCTTGCAGATAACTCTTTGCAGTCATTTTGACACCAATTTTGAGAAAAACATACTGTTCTTGTGCAGTGCATTTTTCAAAGACAGGTCACCACCAAAAGTTTACTCTTTCCACTGCAGTGTAGCCTTGAACTTCGAATAACCATAACAAAACTATACATCTGATTGAGTTCAGTTGCAATAATAACTTTCATTCCAAGTTTCAACAAAATTGAGCATGGCGCAGCCGAGTTCTTGCCAATATTTGGGGCAATCTCTCTCCCTCCCCCGGCTGTCAATTAATTTGACCACAGCAGGCCTTGCCTGCCCATCCCCCCCCCGCCCATCTCCGCCCACTAGAAAAGTTTTTTTTGAACAAGTTAACAAAAAAGTTAAAAAGTAAACAGCGCCTCCAAGCGACTCCCTTCTTTTATCCCGATCCCATGACCTTTCGATCTTTGCTTTGGTTCATACGCACTGTGAGCGTTAACGATGGCTGACGGTGCTCAGGTAAATTAACCAATAATTTGTCATGAAGTGGTTGTGAAGACACTGCCATTTAATTGGCAGTGACGACGGGAAGAATTCCATATACGAAGTTTATTTGGGCATTTTGCTAGATGTGTCATGTATGTGTGAGGTTGGGGCTCACACTTTTTTAATTTGATGGGTTCGTATTATGCTGTGTGACTCTGAGTGCTACTCACTGCTAGCCTGTGTCAAATAGGGGTGCATTTAGCCTAGGCCTACGTTTCAAAAAAAATTTTGCTTTCTTAATCAAACCCTCCCCCCCAAGCTGTCGAAACTGACATGGCCGAGGCGTACATCATGGATGTACATGTATGTATCTCTTTTAATCTGATGTAGTGATGACCAAAATTGATGGTGCAGGCCTAGTCATCAGCATGTCAGGACAGGTGCCCTGTATTACTAGCATGGTAGGCTAATCACATAGGCCTACGGTGAAAACCAATCAGACTGGACAATACCAAGGGCCTACCTAGCAAAACTAGGGAACCTGGCAACTATACGGTCGTGAACGTGATGGTTTTAAGACAATGCGACTGACTATTTATTGAAAAAAATGCAGAGCTTTTCTTTGCATTCTCATTGTACACACTTCACATGCTACACACAGTGTGCATGCATACCACATTGCCGTCATGACCTCGCATCAAGCTGGTCTGGTTGGGATGGCTGCATGTCATGCCCAGCAAGTCGAGTAGCAATATAAAGGAACATGTGTCAATTTGCCCAAACACATCGATCCTTGCACTTCATCTTTTTCACTCCTTGCACGGTCGAGTTGTCTTTACAGATGACTTGGTAAATAATTGAGTTGTCTTAATGGTCAAGTTGTCCTGAATTGAGTTGGTATATGGCCGAGTTGTCTGGCATCCTTCTTAGCAGCCCAGCACAACAGTTAGACTGTGACTGTGATCATACTCAAAACGCCTGTAAATTCACACATTTTATGATACCAGGATTTCAGGACATTATTGATTTTCTTCAAGTAGGCCAAGGACCTAAACATGACATGTTGCATGCAGGTTTTAAGCATGTTAGGTATCAAAGAATTGACCATTCAATGGAAGTGAAACCATGACATTTCCCTGAAGTCAGTAGCCATGAGCCGTTAACTCAGACCCATAAACGGGGCCCTCCGTACACTCCTGCACTGATACGAAGGACTCCCACCAGTAAACAGGGCCCTTCTTATACTCCTTCGCATCAGTGCAGGAGTGTACAAAGGGTCCTGTTTACTGGTCCTGAGTCCTTCGCATCAGTGCAGGAGTGTACAAAGGGCCCTGTTTACTGGTCCTGAGTCCTTCGCATCAGTGCAGGAGTGTACAAAGGGTCCTGTTTACTGGTCCTGAGTCCTTCGCATCAGTGCAGGAGTGTACAAAGGGCCCTGTTTACTGGTCCTGAGTCCTTCGCATCAGTGCAGGAGTGTACAAAGGGCCCTGTTTACTGGTCCGAGTCCTTCGCATCAGTGCAGGAGTGTACAAAGGACCCTGTTTACTGGTCCGAGTCAAACGGGTCATTTAAAAAAAGAGTTCATCATGGACTTTGAAAACAATGGGAAAATCAGTTCAAAATAGAATTTCACCAGAGCTGTAAAGCCAGTGTGCAAGCTCAGAATTTATGATCAGGAATGTTGAGAGCACAATGAAATTTCACTGATTGTCAAATTTGAGGTAAAATGTACTCTAGCAAGAAAAAATTGAAAGTACGCCATGCTTGGGACCATGTCACATTAGGTTGCATCAACTAATAATAACAACATGAATAAATTAGTCAACAAATTTGGAGTGTCAAAGTTAAGTATCTGTGCTTACTTTATTTTCGTAACCTATATTCTTTGTCTATTTCCTGCTTTTTAAAGACTTTAGACTCGCTATTGGCCACCTTGGTGGGCATGGGATTTGAATTGGATCGTTGCCAAGCAGCAGTGAATCAGGGGAAACTTACTGTAAATGATGCTGTGGAATGGTAAGTTGGTCACTAAAAAATGGAGTTTCAGGCAGGTCAAGTAGAGTTTGACTGAACACGAATTTGAAACGGTTGAATACAGTTTTTATCAAGCAAGACAACTATTCAAGAGATTCTTTGCTCTTTCACTGAACTTTATCACATGGACTTTAGTTTTGCAGCCAGGGAAGTTTTAGCGAAAAACTTTTTAGTTTTTCCAAATTTTTATTTTGAGTTTTACACAGTGTGCATGAAAATCCCTGAAGTCCAACATTATGCAGAAAGCCAATGAGCAGTACATCAGGTCATCTGTGAAGGTCTAGATGCAGTGTTGTACACATATCTGTCCCAAGTTGAAATATACTCTCAAAGAAGAGACAAACTGGTGGAAAGTTTACTAACTGGGATCATGAACGTGCATGGTGCTGTCACAAAGACTGTACGTTTAAACAGAAATTGGTAGCTCATACCAAACGTGTCCTGTACCAAGTTGGTATAAACCAGTGTACACTGTGGCATGTTCCTACCAATGAATAATCTTTGCCTTGTAAAAAGACTCCCTCTCTTGTTCCTGCTCAGAAGGGATTGGCATCAATCCATCATAAGTCTGCGAATGCAGTAGTTAGAGATTTACAGATTTGGAGTAATCACAGTCAAATAATGAAATCAGTAATGTAGAAATTCCTTCTGTTTGTTAGGTTACTACAAGGTCACAGTGCTGATGAAGATAAGATACCAACACGATCGGCTCCTACGTTAAGTCTCAATCAACCATCTCAGGTTTGTGTGAATAGTGTCATAAACGTAGCCATTGATTCTCTCTCTGCAAGCAGCCATCAGTGCACCTTGCCGTAGATAGCTTTTAAAGATTTGAATGACATGCTTCAAGACTTGGATTGTTTGCTTTGTTTGTTTTTATTTGACAACACTCATACAGATAACAAATGATCATACACAAACAACTGAATTGACTAAAACGAATAAAAAGAACTACATATAAATCCAGGGCATTGTCGAAGATGGCATACTTGAAAAATTGGATGGCGTCTTTAAGACTTCAATGGCTTCTTTTTCACTGTAGGCTGTACTGTAAGTTCTGCTACTGTGTTTCAATTTGAGCTTTGCACTGAGCAGAATGATAGTGGAAGGGAGAAGCGAAGGGCTGAGAAGTGTTGTAGGATACAAAATACCCTGATGGTGTTTGGAAAACACCTCCCAAATCTGTGACATGATCCTTGGAATATTTACGGTGACAAGAAAAGTCTCTTCTCTGTCGGCATTTTGTGTACGAATGTGTGTGAAGTTATCAGACATTCATAAATACCTCAGACAGTCTCCCTATTCAACAACATGCAACTAGGCTGTGTATTAACATTTGATAATGCCCGCTGACATGTAACAATACCTGCTGCATAAAACATGCGCTGGCACCTTGATACAAGAGAGATTACTCCATCCCTATTGGACATGATTCTGCATGTGACGCAGCACGCAATATGCGTCATGCACGCACCGAGTCCATATTCAAGGAGATTCTGTTGAACAACTTGCAAAAGGAATATACCATTAAATGAATGGGGGTATTCAAGAAAATGAAAGTCAAATTCTTAAACAAAATCGTTGGAAGTCCGTCATATATTGACTTCTTTTGACGCTCCGACTAAAAAGATGTTTATGAATGGGAACAAATATGTGCTTGGCATGTTTAAGACTGGCCAAGCACACATTTATTCTCTTATTCCTGCAATGATTCTGGTTAAAGCTTGTATGAGCACAGAGATTCAAGTTTAAATCCTCACTTGCAACCATCCAGGCTCAACCAACTTCTCAATCCACCGATGCTAGCTACCTCCCCTTCAGCTTACCACCTGTCTCCACCCCATCAAGCTCTTCAGGAGACTCACAGGGCCCCTTGCCTTCCTCCGTCTCACCAGTGTCAGATGAGAGTAAGTTCAAACAACAAGATGTTGTAAGTCGGTTCTCCCTGTCAGAGAAGAAGAGGCAAGACAAGGAGAGATGGGAGAAAGAACAAAGGGAGAAGGCTGCCGTGGAGGCTCGGCAGGCCAGACTACAAGCCAAACAGGTGGGTTTAGGGAGGCTGGCCTTGCCCCTCTCACAAGAAATTATCGTTCAAGAAAAACTGATTAGAAATTCATGAATTGTTGTAGATTCATTTTGAATGACAAACAATGGTCAAGTGGAAAGACTCTTTGTATTCATGGATCCATGTCAAGATGTGCATTGATTCAATTTATCGAATTGTAAGATTTGTAAAATGTAAACTTTTGTGTTAGAGATGTTAATTATTTCCTTCACTTACCTGTATTTGTAACACCCCTTTTTTGTCCCTGAGCTTGTGAGAAAATTCTTCAATTTTGTATTGACCATGAATATAATGTTAAGCATGCACTCACAAGTTTCGTCTTCAAAGGTCCTGTTTAATCCCTTGTAAAGACCACTCACAATTTTTGAACCATTTCAGTTCTCCCAAATGGCAAATCAGTTCTAAAAGGTCTGTGGCAATTTCAGGCAAAGAATTATGTCCTAAAGAACATCAAGGCCGATAAGGAAGCAAGACATCAGCTGGGCAAGCTGCCAAGTAGTCCCAGAAGCACCCATCAGGGGGAGATACCAATGGCCACGCTCCCCTCTCCCCAGCCAGCTAGTTCTGCCTCTTCACCACCAGGGGATGCATCTCCAGTGGTGACAATTTCACCAGAGGCTAAACCAATACCCAGTGCCCCAGCCATGTGTATGCTTCAGGTTTGTCAAGGAGGAAATGAGACCTGCTTTTAAGTGTTTCATAGCTCTCCCCAAGTCCAAATCCCATGAGAGATTTGCAGTATGTAGGAAGGTAAAGATCACACTGGGCTTGTAACCTCTGGAAAGTTGAAGAAAGAATGTGTCATTGATTTCTTATATTATTGGATTGTGTAGGATTCAGGAGGGTTCCAACAAGACATTTCAAGGGAATTAGGTTTTTCATCTTTTGTTTTACAAAGTTTTACTCTTTTATCATAAGTGGTGTATCCTCTATATTGTCAGTAACAATTGAGTCGCTGAAGTACACTGTGAGCAAGCCAAAGGTATTGTTTTAAAACACTAAAAAAGAACAAATAAAGAATGACAAAGTGTGACGTAATTTTGAGCCAGGAAGTGTAGTGAAAACAAATAGGGTGCGTGGGACGTGTTGGTTCACATACTGATTCTTGTGCCTTCAACACTCGTAATTGTGCAAGTGACATATTCACTTGGGTACTCTCTACCCAATAACCTAAGGTCCAGCGTGTTTGTTTTTTGTTTGTTCACAGCTCAGATTACCATCGGGACAGAGCATCCGAGAAAAGTTCTCATCCGCATCAAGTCTTCAGTGTATTGTGGATTTCATCAAGAGCAAACACACAGATCTGATTCACATAAATCTGATGCAGGTATACACGCTTCTTGTCTTACTTTGTACCAACATTTTAAGCTTGACTTTTCCAAATCCTTCAAGACACCCTTGTGTTGTCCTGAACAAAAAATGCCTTACATACATTACATGGTAGGTGTGACGTTATAACACAGCAAACTATGGTGTGCTTCAAGATATATTTGGATAACAACATCAGTCCCCTGATAAGCAGATGATTACTTTGTTGACATCAAATGATATATCCTCCAACTCACTCCATTAGAGTCTTTGATGATCAGCTTTTGGCATTCTCCAAACTGGATGACGATGCCGATGTCCAGTCAACCTTGTGAAATTCTATGAATTCAGTTGATGTGGAGGTTATTGGCATATCTTGTACACTGGCTAAAAGGTTAAGAGGGCACCAATTCTCCATACCTGGTGCTCTGAGTCAAACCAAAACAAGATGAAAAGATCAATAAAGTTGGACATAATATGTTTGTCTTGTCATATTCTACAGCCTTTCCCTCATCGGTTGTTCACCTCCAGTGACTTGGGCTTGACATTGGAAGAACTCCAACTCACGCCAAATGGCAATCTGGTTGTCAAGATAGCAACATCTGATCCAACAACAAGTGAGCCAAATTACTTTAAACTTAAGGAGGCATACAGAAAAATTTATTCAGTTTGTGAATGCAGTTCTAAAGCTGTGCATCTCTTCTAAATACCAATTTTTATAATTTTTTGTGGAAGAATTATTTGTTAAGTTCATGCTGTATTAGACTAAAGAAAATGGAAAAAGTAGAAATAGACGTGTCCTAAACTATTCCCAATTTTGTCTCCTTAAAGCTGATTAATCGTGGGAACTTTTGTCTGTAATTAAATACATATTTGGTGAGCCTCATGGCAGAGATTCAAAGCTTTCTTGCTCTGTAGTTGTAATTTTATGACTCATATCCATCAATGAAAACAGAATCTGCTCAAGCCTCAAGTCAGCCTGCAGTATCACCTGACCCACAAGACCGACCTCAGCCCCCAGATGAGGACCGACTTCTCTCCTCCCTGGCACGTGTCCTCCCTCATCATCCCCCACTGCATCAACCTCCCATAGTCCGCCATGACTGGGGGCGTGGCCATGCCCTCAGCCCCAGTGATGACAGCGCAGCCAGTAAGGAACTGGAGGAGGAGGAGCCAATGGAGGTGGGCGGAGCTAGAGTGGACTTTGATGATGTGGGCGAGATGGATGAGGCAGGCATCGAAGATGCGGAGGAAGATATGCTATGGCATGCCAATGATGCACAACCAATGGGAGGTTAGTAAAAACAAAGTGTTAAAGCCAATGATAACTCGAGTCACAAGTTTGTCTCTTAAAAGAAGAAAAATTGGAAGTCACATTGCCAGGCGCCATGGCTTTCTGTCATCGTAAAAGGGACTTCAGTTACAAAACAATTTCCAGGAGAGATTCCAAGTTGATCCTTTGATCCTGTGGTGTGTGCATTTGCAATTCAGAAAAGCCACTACTTTTCTCTCTGAGGTTTTGTGGTTCCTTAAAAGTTGAAAAGTGTGCTGTCCGTCAAGTTTCTTGAAAGGAAATCAGTTTCTTTGCAGGACAGTTTCAGACAGTAATCAAAGGCAGTGTCGTCATCTAAGCCACCACGGTAGTGTCTAGATCTCTTGAAGGGAAAGGGCTCACCACTTACTCATGATTGGTTTAACCTTGATCTACTCCTGTATCTTAATGATATATTGTACATAGGGCTTAATAGACCAATATAGACTAGAATGTACAGATTACAGCAAGCTTCAGTTGAAGTCATCATTCATTCTATATTCTGTCATCTAATCTGGCCTGATAGGGAGGGAACCTCATATCTGGGGAGATGGCAATCGTCTAGTGGATGGCAGACGACCTATGAACTTTGACTATGGGTTTGGGCAACGTGACGAGCAGCATGATGCTGAGGAAGTACCAAGTCCACAGAGGGCAGGTAGGTCAAAGATGAAAGGGTAGAGGGCTTAGCTAAGGCAAATGATACTGACCAATGATCATGAGGAAATAAGATCACATGACCTTGGATGGCCACAAGCTCCACTCAGAGCCATGTATAGAGAGAAGTGAGACATGAGTGTCACAATTGTTGGAAGCAAACTGGCAGTGTTTTGAGCCGGTGCAAATGGATAGTTGGTAAACAATATCTACATGGTCTACTGTTCACGTAATGAATGGTCGTTTTGTTTTCAGGTGTCTGAAGTTGGTGTTATTCTGTCTATATACAGCTTTGGCTTCACTAAGTGTACCAGAACTAAAATGGGAGGTTATACTTATCAATTAATGGGACTTTAATATTGCACAATATACTTGAAA